ACAACAGCTTTTATCCTCAAGGACAACACTTGGAAGTGGAACTTGTCTTATTCCTGATGTGTCACAGCTTTAATAACCCGTTGCCTCGGGGTACGAAGAAACACGTTTCCTCTGCAGCAGGCATCAGTGGGATAAACCCAGAGCTGGGAGCAATGGGTTTCTATTTACAGGATATCCTTATTATACCCAGGGCTTCCCAATAGCCAGTAATTTCCCTGAGCCTCTGTGGTTACTGCTGTGCAGGACTTAGATTCCTGAGGACAGGCTATTGCTCATAATCAGAAGTAATCAGTTCTGCACAGGGTGTCAGCCTATATAATCTTCCAATACAAGCAGAATGTTAATTTTCTAATACAACCATACAGATCTGGAGTGCCACAATAGAGCTTGCTTTTATACATATGTATTAGATTTAAAAAAAGACCTTTGTGGAAACTAATGTTCCATAGAGCTTCAATAGAAAAGTGAAGCACTTGAGCTCAAAGGGAAAGTGGGCTTAAAATTATCTGCTTTCATTGAAACAATAAGCCACTTGGCATTTTCACCTTGGCCGGGATTTCCATACATTTGGGGGACAGTTCAATTGCTTTTCCATCAAATGTAGTTCAAACAATAAAAAAGGATAAACCAAAATGAGCAACCTACACTGGCTTTCCAACTGAAAACCGTGTGTCCTGAAAATATTGTGAGAATGGAAGCTTTCCCTGGCAGCTGGATGGTCAGGGATTTTTCCCTTCATGCATTTCTGGCTGGGAAAATAATTCCTGTGCAGTTCTTGCAATCATCAGCATAGGAGCCAGTGGTAAAGGCGAAAGAGTCAGTTTGCTTGCAGGTTTGATGTAGTTGCTGCTGGTTTTCTCTTCGTGAGAAGACAGACTCCTTGTGGTATGATGGGACCAAAGTCCCCATCACATCAGGAGCAGTGGTAAAAAAAGTCTGCCAAAAGCTCTGAAACCACTGGTGACTTCAGCAGGAAAACACACGGGATCAATCCTTATGTGTCAGTCTCAGCTACTGCTCTCTCTCCAATTTATTATGAGCAAGGTGCTTTTAATATTCATCGTCAGCTCTAGGTATGTGTCTAAAGGACAATAGCATGCCCTTGTGGAAGAGGAGTTATCTTCCTCCTTCGGACTCTGTGTTAGGACTTGCCTGGGACTTGCCACAGGGAGAACAACATTATTTACTGAATACCGAAGTGCTGGCCTATTTTCACAGCCTGTAAGAAAGCCTGTTGAATAGCAAAGCAGCTCAATTTTAAGCTAGACAGATCCAATTTTCTTAAGGATGTTCTGTAGATTCTTACTTCTGCCGGTCAACAACCACCTCTTAAAACCAACAGGTCGACAACCACCTCTTTAAACTAGCACTGCTCCCATCAGGTCAACATTCTTCATCCAGTGGAAATGGTCATTGCAAGTTCCTGTGCAGGTCCCCAGCGTTAATTGTGTTGTACAGAGGCAGGATGGAGGCCCATTGCTTTTTTGTGAATCGTAGAAACTCAGCTGAGGGTAGAACTCAGCCCTAACACTTTATTAGGCTGCAGACTGCACGTATGCAGCTTATATTCCTGAATATATGTTGTATCACTATATGCTTTTACCCCAGTAATATGTGAAAAAAGGACCTTAGGGTGGACATTTTCTCTTCAGGGGTGCCAGCATCCTGGCTAGAAGCAAAGAAATGTCATTGGCAGGAATGGAGAGAGGGAAAAATGTTGTGCTGCTTGACCAGTAACTGCATGACTGCACCATATTGCACCAAAACAAAATCAATGTCACACCATGACTGTGTTCTCACAGTTCTAAAATCTGTAAGATATGCCCAGTGAAGCTCTTTGAATGTTCCCCAAAGTTGTGTGCAGCCCAGAGGCACAGTAAAGTCCATTTCTGTGTTACTGCTTTTCTGAGAGCTTTTACTAGTGAGTCCTCATGAAGGTAGTTGCCTCTAAGTGGAATCATATAATATAAAAGTAGCTGTGACCAGCATGTCAGATAATTTTATGGACATGTTTTGTGACATCCACACTCAGAAAAAAAGCTGTAATGTGGCCTTTTTGTCATGCTTGGTGACCTACAAGATTTTTCCAGAATTGTTTGTTGTGTGTGCAATTACATAGTCCTTAATCGCTGTTATACAAGTGTCATTCACAAATGCCTTCTCTGGTGTCCACCACGAACATGGAAATGAAGACTCTTATCTCTGAGAATGTGGGGTATCTCACTACATTTGAGTTATGCAGATTAACCAGAGGTTTATGTTGATAAAAAATCTTTAAATTTCAGTGCCTTATCTGTGTGTGGTACCTAACTGTGTGAGGTTAGAAGAGTTTTAGAGAATTTTAAAGATAGCTTGTCACAGAGTAGAGATCTGATTTTTGTGTTTCTCGTTCTAAAAGACAATCTGAGTTGTGTGGCTCCTAAGATAAAAACACTCAGTAGTGATCTGAAGTGGTTTTTATACAGGCTTCTATACCATGATTTTAAACAATAGTTTCTCAAGACATTCCATAGTTTGACACAAATGGAGACACTCTCTTTCTCCCAATGGCATAAAGCTCCCAGAATACTAGGGATGCAAGAGATTCATGTTTAAACTCAGCAGAAAATCTGGTCCACCCTAAACTCCTGCCAAGTGTCAGTTTGGAGTGTCACAGAGACACTGTGCCAAGGCCTCAAATTGAGACTATTTGACAGCTATATGACTAGTGATGCCATAAAAGTATTTTTTAATAGGACATTGGTGTCCATGGTTCTGATAAACCATCTTGATCATAACAGTCATTTGAAAAACGTGTTTCAGATTCGTGCATGTTTTCAGAATCAGTTATTATAGAGTTTGTTTCCAAAATTCCATTTCACTCTCAGATTCTACCTCTAAATATAAATCTAATCCTCCTTCCTTGTCCTGTTCTATATATACAGCACACCCACATGTGATAAAGCCTTCTGCCATAGCAGCAAAGAAAGGTGGAGGGGGGGGAACGAAGGCTGTAGCTAACCTGTGGGAGCACTGAATGCAGTTGGCTGCTGCTCATAATGTTCAAAGATATAATTATCACATGCATGATGAGTACTACACCTGCTGCATCTCTTTTGCTTAAATAAATGATTCCTTAAAATGCCACAGAGCTGCCTCACTTGGAAACTATTAACCAGAGAGGTCACCAGAGGACTTCACACTCCCTGTCCTTCCCCTTCCACCAGGCAGGTTCGCTAATGCATCTCTCTCTCTTTCTCTTTCTTTCTCTCTCTCTCTCTCTTCCCACCCCCGCCAACCTTTTCCTATCAAAATCCTCACCACCTCCTTTCCAGTGCCCACCTTTCTCCTTCATTGTGATTTTTTTTCATCTCTTCATTTCCCCTGTCTTTGTCTCAGCCTTCTTTCCTGTTGCCTGTAAATCTGATCCATTACAGTTTGTAGGTAGTGCTTACCAAGCCAGAGTTCCCAGTGAGAAGTGGGATAGCTTTAAGGATGTGCTTTGTAGGTGCTTCACTCGGCATCTTTCTTAATGCTTGCTTTGTCTCTGCGGCACGATTTAGCGTTCTGTTCCTCCAGTGCATTATTTCTTCTCTATCAAGAGTCTTGTGTTTGTCTGTAACCACACTGCTGCCTGGTAGGTGGCCTAGACAAGCTGCCTGTGACACAGCAGGAATGATGTATTCGGTGCAAAGGCTTCTTTTTTTTTTTTTTTTTTTTTTGTCTTGGACCATCTGCTGGTGAAATGTTCCTATCACTCAAACCTCTTCCACATAAGGAACCTGACCCATCACTGATTACTTGTCAGTAACTGATGTCCTCAAGCAGGGACTGACCGTTTTTAAGACTGCTACAGGAAGTAGTGTTAGATGCTTTGAGAATCACATTGTCCCATGTCTACTAACAGTGAATCCAATTTTAAGGCAGTACAGTCAGACCTTTGCTGACTGTTGTCAACAATGAGTCACATTCCTATCATAGAGGGAACCTTAAGGAAAGCTTCAACGCAGCAGAAATATCTTGTTTGTAGTCACTCCCCAGATTCTCATTTCTTCTGATATTGGTAGTGGATTTTGCAGCTTCCTAAATCACCTCTGACTTGTGTCTTTGTATTTATTTGTATTTATTTGCACATTTATTTCTTTCTGTGCATCATTATGAATGTACCAAAAGACAGCCAAAGAGTTCAAAGGCCTTACAGGGCATGTGTCAAGCAGAGCAAAGTTGTGGTTGAGTATTGAGGCCTATTTCTAGCTTTGCCTGTGACTTCTCATAAAAGGTTATTGGGATTATTTAGATGAATAAACCCAAATGCACGAAATTACATATTTAAACACATGGGAACGTGGCCAGATTTTCAGGAGTGCTTAATTCTGAAAATTTCATTGGTAGCAACAGAATCTGTTGTTTTACAGACCTTTTTGAATGCAAAGCAATTTACATAGATAACAAAGACAAATAAGAGTTGATATCTAAGTTTGAAAATATCCATCATGCACTGTTTTTCTTTCAGTTGCTGAAAAAAAAGAAAGCATTGTTTTCTCCGTTATTATGGTTTCATAATGTGCTTATATATCCTGAAGTGATAGGTGGTGTGTGAAAGTCTGTCTGTATCAAGTCATACATATTTTAATATATTAAAAAAATAGTGACTAAAAAAATTAAAAAAAAAAGGCGGTGATACTTGAGAAATTAATTTGCTAGCAGTAGTAGAGTGCCCCTTGCCTTAGGCCAGCCTTTACCCAAGAGAAAAACTAGTTCACTGATATCTATAGGTGATAGAATCCCATCATGGCACGACTCCTGCTTCGTGACTCCCACCAAAAAAACCAAAATTTCTGTATCAGGGAATTCTAACCATGCCCAGTGCCTACACTGACTTACAGCAGACTCAAGAGGAAAACAGCATTGATTAAAAAATGAATTCAGCTTAACTTTGTTTCTTTCTATTACTATTTTCACAAAAGCCTGGGAGGTATGAGACAGCTTCAGAGACTTTAATGGCAATTCTTGTCTTTCAGGCATCGGATCTCAAAATCAAAATTTAGGTAAGTAAAACTGATTTTTGCTTTTCCTCCTTTCTGCTGGTTTTGTTCCTTACTTTGTGAAGTGGTTTAGTCCAGCATCTCTAGGATGCAGTGGTGATTCTAGGAGATACTGCCAAACATGTTAGATTTAGTCAAAAATCAAGATTGTTCTTCTTAGTTTTATACTGAAATAAGGCACAGGGACTACTGACATTATTCCACTCAGAAGTACCTCTCTGATTGCTACCTACATATCTCGAACCATAAAACACAATATCATAAGTGAAATTCAACCACATAATTATATTGCATCCATCAATATCAACCCTGTCAGCTCAAGGCTCTCTTTCTTACACTTTATTGCACTCCTCTGCTTTGCTTGATTGTAAATATTTCAACTGATGAGGTTTGCATCTTATTTGTGAAGTTCTCCCCTTCACCCTGGGACATGGGGAGTTTTTTCTAGTTGTTTTTGTTTTTCTGTTGACTTACAGATTTTGAAAAAGTGAAGCAGTCCCAAGGGGGTTTGCATTGGAAAGGCTGACTGAACTCGTGAAACTTGGTTGTTAAAGTCCATTTCTACCTTTTTGGTAGGAGCTGAGCTGCCTCCATAACCCTGAATTCAAAGTCAGTTTTATAAAAAGCTAAAATAAACTAAAAAACCCCCTAAAACTAGATTAACTTTCAGTATAACTCTAATGAGTAACTGTGTCCTTCAGCTACCTAAATAACAAACAGTAATAAAAATTTTGGGATGCACATATGTGTACATCCTGCCTTTATGCATCCCTGTGTAAAGAGTGTAGGTGTGAGCACAAAAAAGCACTATACATTTTCATGTGCATGCACATTTGTGCACAAGTACACACTAAAGTGTGTGGGATTCCTAAGGATTTAATGACAACAATATTGTCTAAGCGTTGTGCCTATTTTGGAAGTTGGGAAGATCTTTTCTTGTCCTAAATCTACTGCAAAACACACAACCCTTTTTGAATGTTTGTGATAGCTTGTCTGGGTGCCTTTATAAATTGCACAGATAAAACACTCCAGATTGGATTACCTGTTAAAATGTTGCTGCAACATTCTCGTTCACATTGTGTTCACATTGCCTGGTGTTAGTTCATAGAGATGCTGAATCCTGACCTCAAGTAGGGCCATAGTTTATCACTGAAAATAATATACAAGAGAAGAATAGACAAGAAAAGTTCTTCCCCTCTGTAATGTTGTGTATGTGTATGTCCCTTCAGAGACACACTCACACATATGTATATATTATCTATATAAAACTATTAGATTTATTATACAGTGGCAAGTGTTGCCTGGAAACTGGTTGCTATGCAAGTTAAATTCTGACGAGTAGGAGGTGTGTAATTAGCTTTAAATATCTTCTGTGGTTAGTAATTACCCTCAGAAATCAGTGACACAAGGGGATGTGTTCATGGAAGGCAAACTTTAAAAAGTCTGTTGATTAGCAAATGGTACCCTTAGTTCCAGGCATGAAGGTGAGATGCTGAGGTCCCCTAAGTTTTGGGGTTTTGTTATGAATTAGGCCTTGTATTGGGATTACTCCTGAACATTGTTGAATGTTGGAAATGTTACATGGATTTTATTTGACCTCACCTCTCCAAAGACATAATCCAAAGGTTCATGTGGCATAGTGGGTATCTTTTCAGTGACTATCCTGAGGCTGGGCAAGGTCCCATTGGCAGGCTACAAGCATCAAATACAGGGAGAATGATTATTTTTGTGGGAACTGGGCTAAAAAAACCTCTCAGGGTATCTGCAGTGGATGTCTTAATCAGATTAAGATATTGCTTGAAGATGTTGCAAATTGGTTTAGGACCAACTTTATTCCTGTAGATAAAGGAAGGATGATCACAACTGTCGACTCAGATGAGAATGAGAGAATGTTTCTCAGGGTGAACTTTAAAGTTATTCTCTACCTCTCTCGAGCAATAAATCAAGACTAGAGTCTCTCTTGGCAGAGAATTGCAATAGCCTATGGATCCCTATCTGAAAAGAACTTTTCCTTTTCCAATATTTCAAGTCGCTACTGGCGCCGATGGAATCGATTCTGCAGAAGAAAGTGCCGTGCTGCTGTCAAGTCCAATGTTTTCTATTGGTTGGTGATCTTCCTTGTGTTCCTCAACACCCTCACCATTGCCTCTGAACACTACAACCAGCCAGACTGGCTCACGGAGGTCCAAGGTGAGGAGAAGCTGATGGTTCTGTTTGTTATGGTCAGTGTCAAAAAAGGGAGTGGAGAGAGGAGCTGGTGCATTAAAGCACACAATGTAAAAGGAGAATCTGAAATAATACAATAAACATCCCTGCCTACAATGGGAGAAGTTTTAGGAAAAATGTAAGTACCTTGTTTCCAGCCAAAGCAGTGTTTCCTTGGGTGTAAGTGAAACCAGGAATTTATGCTGAATATATATTTGCAACTGGATTACCAATTAATGGATGGCTACTGAGAGCTTCACGTTCTCCAAGGTTTTCCCTGAAATGGCATTTATGATAATTTTTAATTATTAGGGAGGTGATGAAGAGTGATTTGTAAAGTTCTCCTGTCTGCAGAACAGTTGAATTCTCTCTGGAGGTGAGAGCAGCTGAAAGGCTTAATTAAGCAACAGTAGGTAGCACAGCAGCTCTTCTGTTCCCACTCTCCCCTGCAGATGACAAGTGTGATGGGAGGTTGTGCACAGGAGGGCATGTCCCTGCCATTGGACGTTGTGTGGTTGTGTAATACATTGCAGCTGGATGTGCAATACATAAGAATTGCTGTAACCACCCTGGTAAAACACTTCTGTGAATGAGATGCCCACGCTTTTGAAGTTCATTCTTTGAACCAAGCTTATACGAAGTTGACTTTTAAGACGGATCCCCAAAAAGGTTTCTTAGCAGGGGCCGATGATTAATTGTGGTGATCTTTTGACTAAGTTTCCTTAATCTGTTCTTTTTTGTTTTTCATGAGACACTGCCAACAAGGTGCTGCTAGCTCTTTTCACGGCAGAGATGCTGCTGAAGATGTACAGCCTTGGTCTCCAGGCCTATTTTGTGTCCCTCTTCAACCGCTTTGACTGTTTCATTGTGTGCGGAGGAATCCTGGAAACGATCCTGGTTGAGACAAAGATCATGTCACCACTGGGCATTTCGGTTTTGAGATGTGTTCGACTCCTAAGAATATTTAAAATCACAAGGTACTTTATTGCTTCTTTGGGACTGAAGGAGGGCTACTGCTCAGTGCACAACATATATAGGTACAAGTCGCTCACATCCCTGGTGTTTTTCACTTTTTCTACCACTAATTGGGTAGTGAGAGTGTGGGTTAACAGTCCTCATCTTCTGCCATCTGTGATGGGATGGGGAGGGCTGTACAGACTGGATATCCCTGATGTGAGTGATAAGGATTGGTAAGGAGCCTGGCATAGGCTGGAGACACTTGATACCATGCAAATTGTTAAACTGAGGCCTGGAATGGTAGTCCAAGCTGAGATTGGGCTCTTATGGTTCCCTGCAAAAGTCAAAGCAAAACTAAAACAGCAAATAGCCTTGTGACCTTCTCTGATGCTTTCTGGGGACAGAGAGGAGCCTGAAAGACTGCCTTGAGCTAAAACAACATTTGACTGAGGAGCCCATGCCAACTCCAGTAGACTCAACAGTGGCCTGAGTGGGAGATTGTGTCAACACCAGCAGCTATAGGCGAAGGATGTTGTCAGCTATTCCCCTTCAAGGGAGTCCATCATGAAGCAGCAGCTTTACGAACAAACCAGACTTTTTCCACATTCCAGTATCCCCTCTTTTTCCTTTTCATTCTTTCTCCTGTCCCTCTGCATAAAGGCACGTTTAATACATGTGCATTAAACAGGCATTACTTCCTGAGTCAGGTATCTCCAAAAACACCAGGTTGGTTTGGCAGGGCTTTTTCAGCTTGAGGGGAGGTTGTAGGAGAGATCAGCTCCAAACTTAACCAGATGGGAACTCTTGGAACTAATTTTACCCAAGTGCTTACCCCAAGTAGCACAAGGTCTGCCTTTTCCCATGTGGGCACCAATCAGCACCTTATAAGAAGCTTGACTGAGGTGTTGAAAGAGTGAGTTTTCTGCATGCTCAGCTATGAAAATGTCCCTAAAATCGCTGTAACACACCCCTCCAAAGGAAACATCTGACAAATTTGAGATAAAAACACGCAGCACATGAGGAAAACAAGGCCAAAACTGGAAGACAGTCAAGATGGCAGAGCTGAGAGGCAGAAAAAACCAACAGATTTGGACTTGTTCATCATAAAAGATTTACCCTTAAAGCTTCTGAGCCTCAACTCTCTGGTAGGATGGATGGTTTTCAGGGTGAGATGGCAGAGACAGAAAATCAGTTTATAGTCTCAGAGAGAGAGGCCAAAGCAAGCCTACAACTATTAGAATGGGGGAGGGGAAGTGGTCTGTTTAGACTCGTGTTTATAGAAGAGGGGAAAACGTTCCAGCTAACAAGAGTTTCCAGCCAGAAAGGCATCTTTGCTCTTTCAGAAATAGTGGGGATCTCTGGTCTGCTGACTGTTTTTCCTGGATCTTTGGGTCTGAAAGCTATCATCACCAAGTCCCAGGCCTGGTTTCTGAGGAAACCAGGAGCTGTTTCAGGCATTGGGTAATCAGATACACCCAGGGCAACATACCAATAGCTATAAAAGCATAAGCTTCAACATAGCATCCTGGAGAGGTCATTGTTTTTTCAAGACATTTCTCCACTCCTACACAAAATATATAAGCTAGCTTAGAGAATTCTCTAATAGAAAGGCAAACACTGAGCGAATATCATTAATACTTTGAGATGTTGAAGTACTCAAATATTCCTAAAGCTTCTGGAAGAGATGTAATGATGGAACCAACCAGCAGTAGGACTAGTTATATTTGCCTTCATTCTGCAACACAATTAGAATACAATTTTTCATGGAAAAAAATGTTACCTGGAATATGTCTCCTGCAATTTGTGCATGGGTCTATGTGTAAAACACAGAGATGAGGAACAATTCATAATGCATAATGTATTAATCAGATTTTGCCTTCTTTCCTGTTCCTGAAATATTGGCAAGTAGGTTGCAGTAGTTTCAAATTTATCTGTTTTGTAATTATTCATAATTTTCTTCATGATTTCTTCTTCCCTCCGTGGGTGAAGTTCACCCTCATGTGGAAAGCCCTAACACAAGCCTCCAAAGCAGTATTTTAGGCCCACTCATGTCTTAACGCAGGAGAGAATATTCTGACCCTAAAGCAAAACTTCTGCCTTGATGTTCTCTGGTAAATTACAAATTTTTCCATTATTCACTTAGCTCTAAATACAATGATGATTTATTGATGACATTATCAACACTGGTGCAATAGACCACCTGAGTGCAAAGATAATACAGAAAGATACAATATTAGAAAACTGGGAGGGGTAGGAGGGGTGGGAGGGTAGTGTTTTGTGTCAAATATATATTCATCAGCAATGACAGGGGGACATACAGTAGAGGTGCAAATGGTGATAATCAAGGGCATTAAAAAGGCACAAAGCAGGAAAATTACTCTGGTGAGAATATATCAGTAGGTAGCCTATTCTTTATGTATTTGGATGGATTTTCCATGATAAGCACCAAGCACAAACAAATTCTGGGTGCATCAAGATGATACAATTCTAGGAGAAACACAAATATAGCTCCCTAATAGAATAGAAGCAAATAAAGACACCATCAGATGAACAATGCATCATTTTAGAAACCACATTTAGAATATCAAGAGCAAACATTTCTTCCAAAATTATAAATACATTAGACAAGCAGACAATATAATCTGTTTGTTTTATTCTCCCTAATTTTTAAAGTGCTGTGCAGAACATCTCCCTCTTTGCTATGAGAAGACAAATTATTTTCTCGTTATAAATAGTCCTTTACTGCTTTATAAACCCCTACATATACTCCTTTATATTTAAAAAATAAATCATATCATTTGCAACAGCATACAGAAAGTTGATGGTTTATACCTAATCCTGCCACTAGATATGTCACTGTTAACTGTAGGGAGAAGAGACATGATGCCTTTTTTTTGTACCTGCTTTCAAAGTAGTTTTATATTGGATGAACAGTGTGGGAAGCTTTCATACTATGAGACTGCCAGCTGTTGCTACTGTTTTAAGCTTTGCATCTGTGATTGCCAGTATCACTAAGACATTGTGGAAGGCAATGGAGAGGAGAGGGAAGAGAATACATGAACATGTTAAATTCTAATCCAGTTCTATGACTGATTATTGTGTGAGATGTTGAACAAACCATTTAACTTCTCTGCACCATTCCCCCACTTTGAAACGGGGAACATAATCACATCCTGCTCACTGGTGTTTTGCAGTGCCCCATTCACTGGCATCCTCAAGGGTCTGAGATCTGCAAGTGGGGGCTGTTAAGAAGCACATTCGTTTCCCTATAAGTCCAAGGCAGCAGCAGTGCTTTCTGTCATATTTCCCATTATCCTCTGCCTGGTCCAAAACTTCCGATTCCGTTCAGCAGTGCTGCATTTTAACTTTGCAGTAAGTTATTAACCAGGGTGGATGAAGTATTGAGAGACTTTTCTTTGTCTGGGCTTCAGCCATTGCTGATTTGAAAACCTCGTGTTTCATTGAGTAATCCCAGATCTCACTTTGAGAGAGCGTTCATGTTAGTTCTGCAACCACCTAATGTGACAGATGGTAACGTCAGGTCAGACTTGCAGTTCAGGCTTCTAGGACCCTGAGATAAAGCAATTGTTATTTTCACATCTTAGTCAAGTCAAGCCTTCCTTATCCTCTCCTTTTTCTGTTTTTTTTTTCTCTTCCCCCCTCATCCCCAATCGGTTTATTTACTTTTCTAATGGTTCTGTATTTCTAGCTAGCACTCAGTACACAAACAAAACAGCACTAATCTTATCACCAGGCCATCTCAGTTAATTGCTTTAAGTTTGATAGTCACATAAGAATCTGAATCTCAAGTATTGAGCCATTTTTAAGAAATGGAGAGCTGATAGAAGTCTGCACAGTTGTTTGCTGAGATAGCAATGCATTTAAGCTTAAAGTGAGTCACTGGGACTGATCAGATGTGTAACAGCTTTACTGTATGCTCCTTAAGGGCACTGCTAGAAAGACCTAGAAAATGTGTGTCCTGGCTGACATTGGAGGACTTGGAGAGATATTCTGGAGCCCATCAACTTCTGCTTTAAGGATGCTGAATTCGTTTGACTTCCACCAGAAATGAATTTTTCCCTTTTCCCATGTCACTTTCCCTTCTTTCTAAAGTGTGAAAGTATGTGAGCTGTAAGCATAAATGCAAACACAGTGAGCTGTTACATTGCACATTCCGTGCGGATATTTGGTGGCACTGAGCCCAAAAGCTTCCATGCCCTTACCTTTGCTCTGTAGTTTTTCATTGCTCATCTCTTTAATTGCAGTTAAACTTTAAAGCACTCTAGTTTTGTCTGAAGTGCTGAAACTGGGCTGGAGGGAAAACATCGCAGTTATCTTTGAAGCTCAGTCCTTGGAGATGAACCAGTTGCTGAACTTCAGAGGACATGGCAGTGTCCCTCTGCAGATCAGACTGCTAACCTTCATAAAGTGATTGGGCTGCTCAGGCAGTCCTGTCTTCCATGGAACAAGAAAAGTATTCTTTTTACACTGTCACTTTGAAAATATTAATTTAACTGGGATTTTAGGAACTCTTACCTCTAATGGTTAGATTACCTACAGAAAAAAATTGCATGTCGAAGGATCAGGCTTCCTCAAAAGAGCCAGAGCACTAGACATGTCTGCCATCCTTCTTACATGGAACTCTTTCTTCAAGGTAAATATGGTTAGAAATGCAGAGTCCTCCCAGTAAAGAAGTGTTCAGTGTTATGGGCTTTGGGAGAAGGGCCTGGAGGACACTAGCCATGGTGGAATCTCAAAGTGTGGTGATAGACGAGGTAGAAGGAAGGCCCAGAGATCACAGGCGAACATTAGTGGCTTGCTGACCCGTGAAAGCTGTTGAAGCTTGCTAGCAATGTGCTTCGAAATGAGGCAATTTGAAGATGACAGCTAATCTTCAGCCCGGTCTGAAAGCTCTGCCACACTAAAAACATAAGGGAGAAGAGGCCATGGCCAGCTAAGCAATAGAATAGGAGTGGTTGAGCAGATGCAAGTCCGAAGTGGAAATTGCTTCATGGGCAAAAAATTTAGAAATTTTTTCTGAAGCCTCTTTGTAACTCGTGACTACCGTGCAGGCTGGCAAAGAATGGAAGCAAACTTAGATACTGCAGCAATCATGCTGCTGGCATCACTTTGAACCCCAAAGTGGAACCAGAAGGGCAAGAAAGATCCTTCCTCTGCATCATACATGACTCTGAACTGGACACAAGCCTGAACACACTGAGAGAACGGTTCTTAAGCCATCCTGTCTCTTGAATAAAGCCCTTCAAAATGCTCTGCAGCCTATTTGAGGAAGGATAGTAGGTTTGATACTCAAAGAAAAGCAGTGGTGGTGTGTCCTTCCAAATGGATGTAGATCTGGAGTCTCTTTTAGAGTCTACCTAAAAGGACCATTAATATCTTTCTCATTCCTCTCAATCCCAGAAAGCCCAGCAACTTCTCTCTGTGAGTGAGCCCAAGCATATACTCACACACGCCAGATTTTGGGCAAGTTCATATTTGCATCCAAAGAGTTGTTTCCCCATCTGTTCTTGTTGGTTATTGCAGGCCATTCTCTGGAGTGAGGTATTCTGGCTGCCATAACATCTGTGAGTGTTGTAATGAGGTTGGTTAGAATGTAACTCACTGAAGCAGCAAGAACTAATCACTGTATATTGATATAAGATGCAGAGCCTTAGATGGAGAGTGCTGTAATAATCTTCTGGGTGTGCGTATGGAGTGGGGGGTGGAGGGAATTGGGTATGTACACGTGTGGTAGTAAAATTACTCATTAGCTGCAGTAGGTCTCATTATCTTAGGGAAGCACATCAATGATTCACTGCTTAACAGAGTGTTTGGAAATGCCTGCTTATATGCAGAAGGCAGCCCAAACCAATATCCTGTACAGTCCATGAGCACCTGTCTCAGATTGAGGGAATTTTAACTGCTTCTATTTTCTCTCCCAGATATTGGAACTCCCTGAGTAACCTTGTGGCTTCACTCCTGAACTCAGTTCGCTCCATTGCCTCCCTGTTGCTGCTTCTCTTCCTCTTCATTATCATCTTCTCGCTCCTGGGGATGCAGCTCTTTGGGGGCAAGTTTAACTTTGATGAGATGCAGACCAGGAGGAGTACATTTGACAACTTCCCTCAGTCCCTCCTCACAGTGTTTCAGGTAAGGGCACAAGCGGTCCCAATGGGGCCAACACTTTGTGTTTGTGTGGGGTGAGACAAGTCCTGCACCCTTCCCCTGCAGCCTGACAGTCCCCAAGACTGGACAGCACACTAACAGCTCCAGGAGCAAGGTGCCACACTGTGCTGCCAGCACAGTATTACAGTGGGTATTCCCTCCCAAAGTGGGGAACCAAAGATAAAACCTCTGTGTGTTCCAAGGCCATCAAGTCTTAACAGGGTAGGACAAGAGAAGGGCCATTTTCATGTCCCAGGGGAACAAGCCAAAGCCCAACCCTGCCGCTGTCCTCCCCCCTCCACTGTACTGGGGAACAAAAATCCGCTCACAGCACCACAGAATTAATCAAATGGCCCTTAAGCCGACTGCAGTTTTGGGAGTGATCCACAAAGAGCATGAGGATGGTGATTTCATTCACATGCAAAACGAAGGGAAGTGGCAGGGAGTGCTGTGCTTAGGGCAGTGCTACAGGTTGTGCAGCCTGTCTGAAACAACAGACACGTGGGAGGGAAAAGCCTGGAAAAAAGTGGGAAGGTTTGAACAGAGTTGTGTGGGAGAGCCGTTTGCCTTCAGCCATCATCTTCAAGGGGACATCTGTTTGGGTTTTTTCACACTTTGAACGCAGGACTTCTTTGCATGCTCCTTGTTCTGTGGTTTGTTGTTTGTTTTTTAATTTAATTTTCTAGATGGACACAGCCAGAATCGCCAACCATCCTGGGGGAGGGGGTGCTCTTTAGGACAATAGATATCTTTGTGTTAATGGGGTTTTCAAATTCTCTGTGTGGTCTAACACTGTATCCCTTATTGGTGGGAATGTGTCATTTAGATCCTGACTGGGGAGGACTGGAATTCGGTGATGTATGATGGGATCATGGCTTATGGCGGCCCCTCTTTTCCAGGAATGTTGGTCTGTATTTACTTCATCATCCTCTTCATCTGTGGAAACTGTATCCTTTGATGCTACTCTTTTCTGCAAGAGGGGCTGAATTTAAAGCCACCATTTACTTTGTCATGTCAGAAAATAATGAGTTTCATATCTCACGTTTTTACCTTTTCCCTAGGTCTGAATTTTGGCTTTACACTGCCTAAAGTTAAACAAGTTTGTTTAATTTTAGCTACTGCTAAGGCATATAGACACTTGTAAGAGCCAGCTACGTGCCAGTTCCACGTGCTAGCTTTTATTTTATATTTTCACATGTTTAGTGTTCTTATTTTTCATTCCCCTTAATTCTGTCGTAGGTTTTCTTTCCTGGCTTCTTCAGAAACTAATCTATGTGTGTTCCTACTGTACTTACTGCATATTTTTGCTTCAATTGCTTTTTTAGTAATATATTCCATGTGCTTTCATCCAAGCCTTGTGTGGAATAAAAATATGTATAATCTACAATATGCTATATACAAATGCTGTAATAGGAGTAACATATGTTTGACATAATTGATTTATGTGAGATCATACATTAATTCATGTGTAAACTCACAGGACCCATGTTCCATTTCAGTTGCTGCAATCTGTGTGTTCCTCAAACAGAAAATCCTGTGCTCTGTTATCTTCCAACCTATGCTGGTCTTAAGTAACTTGAGTTCTCTCTGGCTTCAAGGTGAGGTGAGGGCACTGTGCATATCCCAGGAGGTATAAAGCACATTGCATGATTAGGCTCTGAGTGTCTCTTCACAGCAATTTGCATATAACATAGAGCTGTGGTTCTGTTCCGTATCTCAGTTTGCTCCAAATTTGTCCATGTTTAGTTTCTGCTTCCCTAATAAATGGCCCTCCTGTGTCAGAGGTGACATTTCATTTTGTACTGGTGCATCTATAAAGCCACCTTGTGGACTCAGCCCAACTCTTCTGGCCTTTGTTCATAATTCAGATCTCTCAAACCCTGTTATTTGACATTTCAGTTGACCTGCATGCCCTCACTTCAAAGTGAGATGGTGCAATTCCACTTATCTGAAGGTCAAGGTAGGCAATCTTCCTGACAGCTTAAAAAAAAGCTACAATTTGGATCTCCTTGTGAAAATGTGAGCCAAGTCTACATGCTGGCTGACTTTGGAGCCATTAGACCTTGGAGCCCAGGGAGGGGGGTGTCTGTGTTTCCAGGCTGAGCCTTGAACCAGGGTTTGCTTAAAAATTATCACGGTGTAATAAGACCTAAGCTCAAGAAATTTATAAAACAAGCTGATATTCAGATTTGTAACATGAGACCTGAACACTGACTTATAACACAAGAAAACAGTTGTGATTCCTTGCCCTTGAGCTACACAGGCATGACTGGCCATGCATGGACTCTATGCTAGGAGATGTCAGTGTTGTCAGCTCAACTCTTCACTGTCCAGACTAAATTAACCTCAGAAATGCTCATCAGTGTGATATGCTTACTGTCCATAAAATCCATTCATGTGACCTAAGCTGTCAAAGATGCAAAGCATTTAGTGCTCCCCTTATCTTCTGTGGGATTTGTTGCACAAAGTGATACTCTTTTGGGATGTTGGAAACTAAAATATAAGCCTGGACTTAGATGTTTTATATCAGTCGTTCTGTTGTGAAACTTTGGAAATCCACAGTGTGTTAACTATGTGGATGGAAGGTGTAGGTTTGTGCATGCTGGATATGCACATCCTGAGCAGTTGTGTGAAATGGAAGTTTGGAAAATCCAAGACACATGATGACAGGTTGCTAAAAATTTTCAATTAAGAAACCCTTGGTATAATCTTTTCTTGCAGTTTTCAAAGCCAGTTTTCTTTAAGTACACACAAACAGATATCCTGCTGAATGTATTTTTGGCCATTGCTGTGGACAACCTTGCTGATGCTGAGAGTTTAACATCTGCACAGAAAGAGGAGGAAGAGGAAAAAGAAAGGAAAAAGCTAGCAAGGTAAATCCATTTGCATACAGCTATCTGCACTCGTGCATATATTCCTGTGAGTGTAATTACACAGGATACATATACATAGGTATATGATGCATATATATTTGCATAAATATTATACATATACCTATGTATATGTATGTTTATCTTCTCTGTGTGTATATAGGTTATACCTATGTGATTAATGTAATTATGTATATATAAATTTTTACGTAAAGGAATTCACACTGTAAGACAAGAAAGTGCCATGAGCTGGGAGTCCCCACAGTTGCAGTGATGTGAGCAGGGAAAAGGAAGTCTGGGTGACTGATGAGCTTTCAGAGCATCAGGAGAGAATGAGTGTGAAATGGTGTCAATGTTACAATCCCATTTGAATCTCCCTATTATCTTCCAATTGCTTTGGGCCACAAAGCGTATTTTCAGACTGTCATTCCCACTACAAGATTCAGCAGCTTCCTTTTCTTTTGATGCCACATGCTGTTCTTCTCATGCCAGTTCTTTTAGTGTTTCCACAGACACTTAAGAGGCATGAGCTGGATGTGGAGCTTCTCTGTCATTCCCAGCTGCCAACAGCAGGGAAGCCTCTCCTTACTGGTTATTTCCATTCACTGTCTTCCAGGCTGCTTGGAGGGGATCTCTTGTGCAGATCTTTCTGTTTCATCCTGCCTGCTACTCAGCAGATTTCCCTCCCTCTGGGAGTACAGAGAGGGGCAAAACCTTTGTAGGCAACCAAGGGGAAGATAAGAGATGAAAATGGTCCATGCCTTTGTCATTGGGTGAACAAAGAGATCTCTGCTGACAGACATAGAATATGCACGTGTACAAACACACAGGCACATACTTCCCTCACACACAAACACACTCACATGCCATTGAGAAAGCTACAAAATACACTATACAGAATTAGAGCAGAGCCTCTGCCTTTGCCTGTGGATGAGGACAAGGTGGAGCCACTGGGCTCAGAATGGAGATGCCAGCTGATTGTTCTCATGGTGTGTGCTGTATTACATGAAGTCCCTAAAAGGGAAACAAGCTGTTCACCTTTGTAACTCTTTGCTTTTTATCTTGTGAAATTGTTAGAACTGCAAGTCCTGAAAAGAAACAGGAGATGGAAAAAACAGATGTGGAGGAAGAGACAAAGGAGGAGAAAATCGAGCTGAAATCGATCACTGCTGATGGAGAATCCCCACCTGCTACCAAGGTAAGGTCTGCTGCCAGCCAGGCACTCTCTGTGCAGTGATGGCATGAGCAGCTTGGGTTTCTGAGGGAATGAAAACTGTCTGCCTTGTCTGATAAAGGCTTTGATGGTTCTCTTTCCATTTCTGTCAGATCAACGTGGATGATTATCAGCCCAATGAAAACGAAGAAAAGAGCCCATATCCCACAACGGAAGCACCAGGTATACATCTTCTTCCTCTTATTCCTGATCTGACAAAGAAAAGCTCCAGTTGCTAATGCACATAAAGCCAAATTGTGGTAGCAGGCATGCTGAACATGTAATGCTTTCATGATGGGACAGTGTGATGTGCTTGCCTGTGTTTGCACAGGTGTGGACTTGGTCCTTTGCAGTCCCTGTACTGATTAGTCATCTTTCATTTGGTTCTCTGTAAAGCTCTTTATTGGGAAATGCAGAGCTTTGCAGAGAACCAAATCAAATCATATGAAAATCTTTGCATTTGAAAATATACATGTGGCTTTGTTTTCAGTGTGTTTTTCAGTACTCAGTGGTCAGGGAGACTCACGAGAGATAATCATAAAAGGGAAAGTGTTGAATGCCTTTTTGTGCTGTTTTCTAATCAAAAAGGACAGTGTGACATTAAAATAACTCTAATGGCATAAGACCTCAGCACGGAATGGGAGGAATCAAACTATAGCATTAGTTAGGCTGATTTTCAAGTCAATTGGGCCTAATTAACATCATCCTCAGATGCCTGACAGATTGGTCGAAGAAATCTCAGAACTTCAAGCAGTTTTTCTTCAAGAGATCCTGAATGGGGGGTGGGGTTGGAGCTAGGCAGTTCAACTCCCATTCTTGGAAAAGTGCTTGAAAAAATGATTAAACAAAGTATATGACTGCAAGATAAGGAGATGACTAGCAGCCAACACAGATTTGCCAAGAGCAACTCACATGAAACCACCCTGATTTTCTTTTAGAAGGGGCTGAAAATACTGGTACGTGAGAGAAAAGAAGTAGGTGTCGTATTCTTTTACATTTTGCTAAGGCTTCTGACCAACTCTTGTAGCGTTCTCAGAAGCTGGCTAGAAAATTATGGTCTGGATGATTGTGAGAGAATTTGATCCAACCCTTTATGTGGAGGGTATTGATAGCCCAAGTGAGCCTCTACAACCCAAAAGCCTGTCTGGAGTTCACTTCAGTTCATTGTTAATGACCTGAATGATGGAAGAGGCAATATGCTTATTACATTTGTAGATGACATGGAGCTAGGAAGGACACAAAGCATGCTGGAGGGCAGCATTAGAATTCAAAGAGCTGTTGAGGTCCTGGATAAATGGTCTAAATAAAATTGAAAGTGCCAGGCTCTATACGTAGACAGGAATAAACAATTCACAAATAAAGGATCTCAGGTGACAGCTAGTTAGGTAACAGTCCTTGAGAAAAGAATCTCAATCTTATGATCGCAAGCTCAACAGTTTGCCAGCAACAGTTTGCTGTCTTTCAAAAGGCAGGCAAGTAGTGAGATTTATAAACAGAGAAAACCAAACCTTTTTATGCAGTTATGGGCTTCTTTTAAGTGGTCAGTGAAAGCTAATCAGAGCAAAGCAATTGTTCTATTGTGTTCTCTGCTGGAATATCATATCTCGTTTTGGGTGCTCCGACTGGAAAAAGTATAGAAGAGAATGGTGAAAACAATGCTAGTAGGAGGCAAGAACTGAGATTGAATGAACTGTGATAATCTGAGTTAGGAAAGGCAGGAGAAACACCTTCAAATGCATAAAAACCTGCTACAGGTAGGAGGGAAATTATCTCCATTATCAAATAATACATTTAAGATTCACACCAGAGAGAATTTTCTAATGGTGAGGCTAGAAAAGATCACAGAGATGGCTGTGGAATTCCAGCATCACTGAATGCTGTTAGGAACAAGTCAGAAAAATGTCTTCCAGAAAAGGCTTAGATATAATAGTTAATTGATCTTGGCCTGGCATAAGCATGAACCAGAGGGCCTTTTGTGGTCCTTTCCTGCTCTGCTCTTACGCGTTTCTATGATTATGTAACAGGCTATAATAGGTTATGAAACACATTCTCTTCTATTCCATGATTCCTAATAAATAAAGGTCTGATAATAGGTTGATGTGGCAGGGTAAAAAAGAACACAATAGTTCATTTTAAGTAGATGGACAAGGGTTTCAGACAAACAAAATGGAAAACTCTTCATTGCATTTGACTTTCAGTACAAAAAGTCCCCACGTTTGCTATACTTGTATTCTTCCATATTTATAGCCAATTTATCAGGAATAGAATGTGGTTCTAACTCTATGCAATAGTGTTTTAACAGTGCCTGGGGGAGATGCCTCTGGCTTTAATCTTCCCATCGCCTCTGTAGGCACAGGCACTTACTGGACACATATCCCCAGTTGCTAAGGGGTTTGCAGGAGTCTTTAGTTAGAAGGACAAATTAAAACAGCTTGATACAGTTCTGTTTCAGTTTCTCAGCTGGCCTGGATTTGCAGGCCATTACATTTTTTTCAAGTGAAGCAACAGTCATCTGTATCGATTTTAAGTCTACTGCTAATAGAATTGGAGTTTAGTTTTGCCTTCTGTGGATAGCTTAGAAATAGTCCAGCATATGAAATATGTGACAAAAGCTACATCTACATTCATTTTTTGTCATTCAGCCATGCATAGAATTAAAGTGTGGAAAATTAAGTGAAAATACTTTTAACTCCTGCCTTGGGGTGCCAGTCCCTGACTTAATATACTTTTGAACACAACCTAGAATTTGAATGGATGATCAGGTTTTCTCCTGTTTCCTGTTAGAAACGCAAAGGGACACCATCTTGGTTACTTTGTTCTTTGTAAAGAGTGAAGTTGATCTCTAACAGCTCACTAAATTACCTGACCACTTCTTTCAGACTTCATGGAAGACAACCATAAGGCTCAGATGCCAGTAAAGTTTTGTAAATCCCTTGTTAGATCAGATTTACCATAGTCATCTGTTCCCTTCTGCTGTATAAAGCTCAGAAACACCAAGGTACTCTCAGAGCTGATATGACATGTCACCTCTGCCTTGTGTAGTTGCTTCTGGAGAACAAGGCTTCAAGGCTTCCCCAGGCACTAGCAAGCAAGAATTTCCCAATCCCCACATGTATCCCTGCCCAGTTCCCTTGTGCCCATCTGACCAGCCCAGAATCCTTCTGCTGATTGCCAATCAGTCCAACTGTGGTACAGGAGATGCTGTGCAGCCATATACAGCCCATCTGGGAACACACCTTTTCCTGCCCACTTGCACGTAGATCCATTTTGAACTGTGCTGTAAGTGGCACATCCTATTGTTTCTTAGATGCAGTCAGTTGGTTCTACCTATTTTCTGTTTCTGATTTAAGCTGTTAGTACCCGTGACCTTTCCATGGCTGTGTACCATTCCATCCTCTGAAAACATCCTTCACCCTAATCCAGTGTTCAGAAACAATTTGAAATGGTCACCTCATTTATTTTTTTTTCTTTATTCTTTCAACCTACCTTGTTTGGGTTCTAATTTGTTTCTGCTTCTCAACCAGTTTTCTCAATAACCTCTTCTGACTCTATTTGCTACACAGTGTTGCTCATAGGCCCCAGAGTACCCTGTGTGCTTGCAGCTCCTCAGATCACCTACCCCCTTTTTTTGGAAGGACAGACTAGTTCTTCCAGAGATTTGTGTACACTAGAAGAATTATTATGATGATATGTTTATTATAAGAAGACAGGGAGCTAGTCTTGCAGTCTAGTACAGAAATAGACAAGGAATTCAGAACGTCAAATGAAGGTAAAAGCTTGGGGATGATTCATGGGAGGTTGAAGCAAAGCAATGTCCTTATACAAGAGTTCTGGTTTTCGTACAGTAAAAAAAAAAAAATATCGCCATCATCAAATTTCTCACTGATGCTGCACTGTAGCCTGTTTGTGTTTGTCTTCACAGCCAAAGAACTTCTGCTTCTACAAATGTGAGCAACTAGGCAGGTTCTATATGCAGGTAGATACGTTAGGAACTGACGTCAGGTTGTTCTCACGTTGTTCTTTGCGAACTGGGACCTCGCTGTTTCCTTTCTTCTTTGCCCCAGACTCTACTTTAAGTGAAAGATATTTAGAACATTATCTATGGCTGAGGAACTGAATGTGTTTTTCAATCTGAAGGTATGTGGTTGCCAGAATCTTTAATGTATTTCCTGCTGTATGGCAGACAGGAGAAAAAGAGGAGAGGAGCAGTGTTCTTTATGGTCTTCATGGGGCTGATCCTTTTGCTAAGGGTCCATTTTCCTGAGGCATTGTTCCATATCCATTTAAAAGGGTATTTAAGCATTCCTCTGAGTAAAAGAAGTAGAATGATCCAATAGTGAAGGTGCAGAACAGGGACTCAGAATACTAGTCTTTTTAAGTAAGAATCTCAAATATCCCACATGGGCAGTGGTTTTCTGACCTCTAATAGAAGAAAAGGAATTTTCTTACATTGCTCATTGTCAGTCTGCTCTGAAACCTGTAGGTAAAAGGTATAAGTGCAAAGTATGGAATATTGTATAAATATGAGCATTGACATTAACACCTGTTTTACAAGTACTATGTAAAAAAGTACTTGTAAAAGAATGTTTCTTTAACTAATAAAACCTGTATAAAGAGTATTATAAAGTATATTAAACATTAATTGAGCTGTTAAAAAATAGACTAACTGAATAAGTACAAACTCTATGTACCAGCTCAAACATTTATGCAAAGATCTATCAAGTGAATTTGAGCTGAACTCTTGGTACTGGAAGTGTAAAGAAAGAATCCTATTTGCATGTAATAATGGCATGCATTCAAAAAGGGCACTTTTCTCCTGTCTCTGATATCTAGATTAGGATCTGTGCTGATTCATCTGTTCTTTCTGATGTGTCCTGTAACGAGATCAAGTACCTCACCCTGAAGGAACAGTCTTTTCCTGGAATTTATCTCCTTTTATGAACTCGGGATGAACCTTTTAACTAGAGTTTCCTCCTTTGCATTGCCTGGAAGATGAACCAGCTTCATCTAACCTGTCAGACTCCTTTCTTAAAGTATATTTTTTTCTGTCCTGCTGATTAAGCAAGAGGATTGGGATCTTTTAAAACAGCAAAATCCTATCATGTTGTTTACAAAACAACATCTGACTTCAGCAGGTAGAAAGAATCCTCAAAGGTGGAAGCTTCTCTTTCACATAACCCTTAGACCCCCTCTCTGCATTTTTTATCCCGAGATTGCTCATTGTTCAGCACAGGGCCTGGAGATCTACTCCAGAGGCATCAGGTTCAAGACTCTCAGCAGTCTCAGCCTCTTTCCCACCTTTTTAATCTTCCCCCCACTAAATTATGAAAGAGGACAATTTTTAAGACCTTCTGATCGGTGTCATTCAGTCTGCCCATGCTCAGTGTTTGCTCTGTACATGCACTCATCCAGACACGATCCCAGATGTGGCAGTGGCTCCATGGAGATCCTCACAAATAGGAGAAAAACAGATCTTGATAAACCAGAGGAATGGTCTGAAGAAAAAAAAGATGCGGTTCAATAAGGCTGAGATCCAAGTGCCACTCTTGGGAATAGTCAGTGGCAGAAATGCAGAGGGGGAGTGACAGCCTAGACAGTTGTTCTGTGATAAATAATCTGTACTTTGTGCATATCAGAAACTGATGGCAAATTAATGCCAGAGTGTAATGAAAAGTGCCCATGAAGGACATTTAAGCAGGAAGATAGTGTAAGATATAATAAGTATTCCAACTCTCCTGCACCAGTGAAACCTCAACTGAAGGTTAATCCTGCACATAATCTGGAAGAAAGGAGCAAGAGTGATCAGAGACCTGGGGAACACAGCACCTCAGGAAAGACTGTTGCTGTTTTGCTCTAGGATTAAGATATTCTCACAGAGGCATATTAATTGTCCTTGAGTATGTAAAAGCCTTCTGCAAGAGGAAGGCAATTCTCAATTTGCTGTGTACGTGGAAAGTAAGAAAACAGATACTGGATTTAGACCATAGCAAGAAAGGTACAAGTGAGTCATTAGAAGCTTTTTTTTTTTTTTTTTGCAGTGAAGTATCTGAGGAGAGTGTTGTGAGAATATTGTGGTTTTACCAGCATTAATGGTTTTACAGAGAGACTAGATCAATGTTTGCCAGGGCAAGCACTGGGCAACAAATGCTGCCTTGGGAGAAGGAAGTGGACAAGGAACCTCAAGTTTCTTAGCTTTTAGCTCTAGTTATGACAGA